CAGCTGAAGAGGAGGCACAGTGACGGGTTCGCCTCCAACCCCCGACTCAGCAAGGCCATCATCTCTTGACCGATCATCTTCATCATCGTCGTCGTCTCATGACCGATCATCATCATCATCGTCGTCGTAGTAGTTGTCATCATCAACATTATCTTCTTAATAGTCCAGTTCTGTTGGATACGATCATTAGTGTACGTTCAAATATCATCATCATCACTGGCATTGTCCCGTGATCGTTGAATTAATTTGCAGAATCGTTGAAGCTCTGGCTATGCATTTGTATTACACATCATCGTCATCATTGAGTTCATTTCATTTGTAAATGTATCGTGGCTGGAGAACATCACATCTATATCACCTTCTCCGCCTCCAATTTTATTTGATATTTGTAAATTCTAATCAATCCATCTTACCTCTTTTGTACTTCTTACTGATCAACATTTATTGTCTTGTTTTTATTTTTGAACTCATCATGTTCTTTCTCTGATATGCGACCATGAATTGACAAACAAGTAACTGAACGAATTGGGATATTATTTGATATTTTGGTGCTGCTAGGCGGTTCTTCGTTCTCTTTCCTTCCATCCATCGTCTACTATTCTTTTATTTGGCATTTTAATTTATTCTACAATAATGTTAATAAAATATTATTTTAAATATTAGACTTTAATTGTTAGGAAGATATGATAAACATTTTTGTGAAAAATTATGGCGTCATTGACTGTGAACAAGCAAGTAAATCCGACCTGTGTGCGTGTTATGAGGACGGTTATCTTTAATATGCCTTGATAGTTTGAAATTTGTAAAAAAACTCGAACTGCTGGCAGCCTTCATTCCCACAGAATGGCTGATTGACTTTGAAAACTAATTTGAATTATGAATGCTAACAGAGAAGATATCGTCGAGAAGGTTGTGGAGCTTGAGTTTAGGATGCTATGATGGATGTGAAGAGGAGAGGTTTTGATGGTAGGTTTGGAACATGAGAGGACGTGGGTTACATTTTTTTACTGCATATTGATAAACACGAGGTAATGATGGTATCGTTTATATTGCGTCAGTTACTAATTACGAATTAGCAGTAACGAGTGTGCTGTAAGGCGAGCTAATGTTACATTTTTGAATGGTGGTTGTTAAGAAAAATTGTATCAGTGAAATAAAAGCTAGGACTAGGGTTGGCAGGATAACTTAGTTGGTAGAGAGAGAAGAAGAGAGGCACCTTTACTAACAAGTAGTTAGTTTTTTGGTCTCCTGGTTTGACTAATTGTTTCTAACTAATAGGTTCTATTCTCTTCATAATCCAGTGATCGTTTTTGTCGCCTTTTTGGTTTCCATTGATGTCATTTTCATTACTTTCGTCGTTTCCATCTTCTTCTATCTACCGTCCACCATGAACTCTTTTTAATTCAACTCTACTGATGTCTTAACTGGAGTCGGTCCTAGTGTTGTGTTATCTTGTGGCGAGGAAAATAATTTCATTAAGTTATAGTAAATTATTTTAATTATTACACGTTGTTGAGTTTTACCGCTGCTTGTAAAGTTATCTAGTTCGCCATACAAATGTTTTGTTTATTATAAAAGTAACTTTCGTAAACGAATAACGAGCAATGTTAACTAATCACTGATTGGTTCTTACTCTTTATTCTGTTCCTCCAGTCTTATACCGTTCTCTAATTTTCATTTTTGTTAATTTTTTCAACATTTTCAACATTAAACCTTGAAATGAAAATGTTTTTCTAAAATCTAACTAAACTTCATATAAATTTGAAAATGGAGCGTGCTTGAAGCGAAGAACAACACATCCATTTCTCCAAAGTTGACTGCCTTGTGTTTCGCGAAACAACTGGACGGATGCATCTCCTACTTCTTTAAATATTTTCTCAAATGTTCGTATAGATTCTTAAATATATATTAAATGGACACACACGCACATACACACATAATACATTTTTATAACAAAAGCGTTTAATGGCTCGTGATGTTTACAATTCCATAGCTTCACCTTAACATACATGCGAGTTAATGAGGCTGCTTCAGGTGTATGGGGTATTAAAAGTTAATGGAACCGGATGTTCACAACTTTTAAGAATTAAATAAATATTTGTATGCATATTTTAATTATTTTAATTTAGTTAGGTCAGGATAACGTTAATTTTAATAGTCTGGGAGGTGAGATTGTTGTGTTTGGTTGGTTGAATAAAGTGTTTGGTTGGTCGGTTGATAAATTGATCGATTTAATGAATAAAAATAACTGACTGGTGAATTGAATGTTTGATTGATTGACTTGTGAATGCCACATTTCAGTATTTCGGCAACTCAATTTTTATAACAACGACTTAGATTAGTTTTTATTCACGCCATTATTGTTGGCGAGCGGTATGCACATATGCAATTTTATATATATAATAAAGATTTTATTTTAGATTCCTCTCAGTTTTCCTTCTTTTTTTGCGTCATAAATGTAACCATTTCTATTATGGCTACTAACTAACTAGTTCAAAGTGTTCAAACAATTTTCTATTTCTAGGTTGCTCCGCTTGTCATTTGTCTCTTTTGAATGGAACATTTTTTCTTCGTTGTTATGCAGCTCTGATAGACACATAGCTGCTCTTCATTGCCTAATTTTGGATCGAGCTGTACGTACTTCCACAGCATTTGCATACAGACGCTGCCTCAGACGCACGAAGCGTTATGATCAATAATCTCGCGGCTTTGCGCAGACGTCTGGTCTGCCTCGCCAGAAAATATCCGTTTATGTAATTTTTTTGAGTGATTTTAAATTGCTTCATTAGTTTTCCTTGCGTCAAAGTTCATAATTGCTATCGGCTGTTCGTTCGTTTTATTTACTTTTTTGGTTTAAGTTACTTGGTACATGTCGACATCTTGAATGTATGAATTCCACTCAGATTTATAAAAGTCTGCGTCAGCTTGCTCTAATTCATCCTGTCTGTTCATCAGTATTATCAAATGTTGTTCGTGTTTGTCGTCCTCATTTAGGTCATGCTCATTCACAATCACCGACTCATTCTAATGTAACAGGTGAATGAATGTACATATGTACATATTTTGTTTTATTCATTTGTTTATTCATCTGTACGCATATAATTTGTTTAATTTATTTAAATTTGTATAAATATCAATCAATCAACAGTTGTTATAGTCGATTTAGTTGAAAGTTTACATACCCGATACTGCTCCGACCGACTTTGAAATCTGGCTCAGCTGACTTCGTATCCGTTTGACGTGCAGTTGAGGTGGCGTTGGGTGGGGCTATGTTATCAATAGTTTAACGGCCATTTTTGTTTTAATTGTTTTTAAATTTAGCCGACATATATTGTTTAAATACCTTTTATATTTTTAAAAACGCCGTTTCAGATAGCAAAATTGACCAGCAGTTGTGCAATAATTTAAAATATAAAATGTCGCCAGCTTCTTCAAGCCCCTTCTCACAAATTGTTTAGTTGTGGCCTCTTCGTCAAAATTGACTCCTCTCCGTCAAAGTTGTTTGGATCCGCCCTAATTGATATAAGAGGCATATAAGCAGTTCAATATATAGAAACTTTTTCAATTAACATTCGACGTCATTTTCATATCATGCGCTCACAAAATGTGCAATTTTGTGACGAAATGTTTAGCGGCCAAATTAGTTCATTGATATTTCAAATAACTTTTCAAAAAGATTTATGTTAGGATTGATTTTATTTCATTTCAAGATGGACCGGATTAATGATTTTATACTAGATAACTAAGTGAGCAGGCGTGCAATCAAGACATTTGACATTTTTTCCTTCATTTTGTTCATTTACGTCTATGTATTAATAGTTATTATTTCACGTGTTTGTATGTTTTAAATGTTTTTAAAAGCTTTGAGGCCTAATTCAAACTTCTGTCGTTTCATTCAACGAATTCATCGTTATCTAAAGCTGTTTTCCTTTTACAATTTCTAATTATTAAACTCTATTTTACCATCATCGGAACCCTCATGTTTATGTTGCCGTTAATTATGAAATTTATTTTTCAATCGCTTTGTATGAAAAATTTTTATTTTTGAACGCTTTTATTTTTTTCTATTTTAAATTTAAATTAAATCTGGGAAAACAAAAACTATTGTCTGTTAACACGCGCTATTCCTGGTTCGCTCCTTAATGAAATTCTGCCAAAATATCAAATGACATATCAACTTCAATTATTTTTCGTATTATATAGTAATAAAAATCACTTTAACCTTTTCTTCGTTTGGAAAGAGTACAAAGTCGTCGAGAGGAGCGTAATGTCATGTACCTAATGAGACAGTGAAGATGTAAAATAGCTATAGTTTGTTATTTAGTTACGAGTACAAAACCGCGTTATTTGCTTGGTAAATGGGTTTGTTGTATTTGAGCTCCAAAGCTTCAAGTATCGATCGATCATCACAAGAGGAGATACGGGTCATTTGTTCAGCTTTTAAACTAACGAATTATTTTATAATTGTTTTTGATGGCAAAAATTCGAAATAGTTTCACGGAAATTTATTTGATCATATAAAAACATGAAAAGGAAGAGGCAGCAAAAGATCGGATGCTCCGTCCTGGAAGTTCCAACGTCAGCTGGACCTCACAGAGGCTCGCGAGTATTTCAATCTAAAAATGCAAACAACGACGCGCCAGTTTATGAGCTTCAACAAAAAACAACATAAGGTCTGTAAAACAAAAGCACCAAAATTAGTTAAATAAATTTTTTCTGCGCTGAAAATATAAAAAGGCAACGAACAAGAAACGAGACGAAGCGTACGATATTTCACAGACACACTGCATTTATCGCTATCAGTTGAAACTCGAAATTGAAGATAAATTCATAATGAAGGCAACCATAATATAAGTAATATGCATGAGAAAATGACGAGCATTAAGTTGGCTCGGATGGCCTGGCACGAACCACATTCATCTTGTTGCTCCTGGTGTATCATTTATTTCGATGTTAACAGCTTGACATTTTATCAATCAATCGATCAATCAGTCAGTCGGTCGGTCGGTCGGTCGGTCGGTCAGTCAGTCAGTCAGTCAGTCAACCAACCAACCAATCAATCAATCAACCAATCAATCAACCAACCAATCAAATTTGTAAAGCGCTATTTCAGTGATGTTTAAATGTTATATTATAACGATAACATATTTAATCAAAATATGACATATAACATCATAAATACATTAAATTATATTTAATTCACCATTAAATATCGACCCAACCAATATACAAACAAACGAAACAGAAGAACAAATGATGATTTTTTTAAAAGCAGTCAAGGAACAAACCGCGGGGTGATAGGCAAGACATGGATCTGTCTTGTTGGTGACCGTCAGGTCTGTTGCCAGCTGGCATGCATAAGGCAAATTGTTATGTGGGTAGTTGTCAAGGATGTCGTTTTGTGATGAAAAACAAATGATAACCTTAATATTTAAATATCAATTGGAAGCAAGACATTGGAGTATTTATCTCGGACATTGAAAGGGCTGGCTCCCCTGCCGCGTTCATAGCAAGAGGACGTTTTTTTAAAAAATGCCAAGAAAAGAAGTGCATATCGTTTGCATGTTGTTTATTAGCAAATATTTTCATTCATGACTGAAAGTTATTTACGAATACTATTAAAAAGAGTAAAAAATAAAACGTGGGAACTGATGAAACATGATAGTTAATTGAATGATTTAAAAAAATTCGACCATATACGTAAGTAACGTAACCGCTTACAAATTATTACTAGAAATGATTTATGAAAATATAAAAATGTGACAAATGATTAAACCTAACTGAAACATATATCAGAAAAAAGGATATATTTGATTTCAACGGGCGTCATGACGACTTTGACATCTTTGGAGCAAGAACACGGGGCCCTCACAACCAAAAAGATGAGGTTTGTGCCGGCTACATGACTGGCGCTGAATGTGCTGCAAAACATTTGTAACACATTTTAAGACATTTATAACACGTTGGAGCATTTCTACAGCCAAACATTAAACGTTTATAATATATTACTTACAAAACCTTGAATCTACATATAATATTACTCAAATGTTAAAATTTTTTGTCACCAGATGTCAAATTTTAAAAATGAAAACACACATAAATTAGTACTACACCAACGAATATAATAATAAGAGTAGAAACTTTTGATGTGTTGCACACAATTTTCAAATGTCTGAATGATTCAGTTTTGTATTTTTTTAAGAGTTATTAATGAAATATAAAATTATTTAAATGGAACGTCACACATAACCTCACATCCACACAAGTCATTTCTACTCATATCAATTTAAAAATTTGGTAAGTATTTCATTGCTTCGAAATTGTTTGGATGAAGGTATTGAATGATGCTCTGGTTAAATGACATTATGAAGTGTTAATTAAAACTCTTAACATTTGCACACTTAAGTTAGATGATGTTTTTGAGGATTGAATTTCTAATGTGTATAGAATGTGTATGTATATAAGCAACTTCAATAAATGCGGCATCTCCACGCAAAACTCTACTTCGATCAGTTTGTTCATATAGTTTGTAATTTAAGACAAATCTAAATGTACAATTATATATATATGTATATATATATATATATATATATATATATGTGTGTGTGTGTGTGTGTGTGTGTGTGTATGTGTGTGTGTGTGTGTGTGTGTGTGTGTGTGTGTGTGTGTGAATGATTAAAAGATCTTTTTCTGAAACTTGTTTATTTGCACCATTCCATAATGGGTCCGTCCAAGCAACTTTCAACGAATTGTTAAGTGATGCTTCCACTGTTAAACTTTTCAAACTTTTCAGTTAAAAAATTTCCGCTGCTAAAGGGCTTAGCATTATTATTGGAACGAAATCTGCTAACATTTCTATTCAGTTGAGTGTGTCTCGGTAGAGAATTTGTAAAAATAATCATTGCATTAAATTTATAAAAGACAATTTTTCAAAGTTAGTTTACGATTTGTTATTGCCGGCTACAATTGAGTTAAATGATACACATGAGTTTTTAAATATTAAATTGTCAAAAATAATTTATTTATCCTTTTCATTTCACAATAAAAAAAATTTTTAGTGTGAAAAATATAACAAAATCAAGAATTCAAAAGGTTAGAATTTGCGAACCTGGTGCAGAGATTGTCGCAAACGCTGGCGTTGCCCTGGAGAGGCAGTCTGGACGTGTCGGCCACGAAGTAGATGAGCTGCTTGAAGCAGGGCACGTCGCCCACAAACTTGCGGTTCTCGAATGAGGTCTTCGTTTCTCTGAAGCAATCGAGCAGTAGAGAGCCTCGGACCTTGTTGTAGCATTCGCGCATCATAGCACGGAACTCAGGGTTCTCCATCTGGTAGCCATCTTCCAGGAATTCCTCGTCAACGATGTCGTAGAAGAAGTCGCCGTCGGTCAGCGGGTCGTCGGTGGCTGCGTGTGTTTGTGCGGGGATTGAAATGGATGATGCTTGCATTGCATATTATTGGCGATAACATTTTTAGTCTGCGAATATTATTAACAGAACGCGGTACAATCGGGCGCTTGCTTATGACATGACGTCATTTTGCCAGCAGAGTTTTTGGATCAAATAAGTCTAGAAAACATTTGAATTTCAGTGAGCAGTTTATTAGTTAAATAAACAAACTTGAAACTTAATTTCTATTCCGTTTAATTTAATTTGAAGATTCATTTAATAAAAACTGATCACAGGAAGTTTGTGTGGTAACATTGAAATATTTAGAGAAAAATGGAATTTTTATTTTGTACTAACACAGCAAGCCGAATAGATGAGAGGACATCATTTGGATGAGGACAGGTAGGTTGGAGACGTACCTGCATGAACCAGTTCACGTTCAAATTCATTAATCATTCTAAATTCTTATTACGTTTTTAAATTGAAAAAAGTAAACAAACGAACGAACAAACAAACGAACGTACGAATGAACAAACAAACGAACGAACGAACAAACAAACGAACAAACATTTGAAAGTAAATTAGATACGTGAGTTAGGACTTACATCAACAAAAGTTCCATCAGCCATCGCCAATAAGATAGAAAACGCTTCACTGGCTGGTAAAAAATACTAAAACTAATCAACAAATTATAATAATAATAAAATGATTATCCTTTTAACAAAATAAAATAATGAAATGATTATCCTTTCAATAGTCACAACAATATTAGCACTCAATTAAAGAACAGTGCACCCAGGAATTGAAATAGCTCGAATAAATTATTCTGTCTGCCAAAAACATTCATTGCTGTCAGGTAGGTACACAAGATGATGTGAGCTTCATGATGTAGGTATTGACATTTAGAATGGAAAAATAAGATGACAAAAGCAAGTGCTGGCGTATTGTCAATCAAAAATTTAATTTGTAACAAAAAAAGCAAGTGAAAAATGTTTCAAAAAAAGCTGAATAAGAATGAAAGCACCTCAATGAATAGATTACTGGCCGATGATTTGCTTTCGTTGTATATGTCGCAGATCGCCTGATTCACCATCTTTATCCTGCGAGCGTTCATCATTCAATGGTAACATTAATCAGGTGTCTTATTGCTCAGAAATATTTTTATTTACACAATTTTGTATAAAAATCATAAACAAACGTAAATTTTTAATTAAAAATGTGGTTTGTCAGTGTTCCACATCCTTGGAGCCCGCATGACTTCACGACTTCACGTGTCTGAATGTTTTGGGGCTCGACACTTTTGTAAGAAAAATTTATCAAATTGTGTGAACACAATCTGTTGAAAAAATTTTCATGAAAAATATAAAAAATTCATTCTTTTAGTTGGGCCGATTATCACCCCATGACCCTACGACAGCCCCAAAACACGACGACCGACGAAAGTGAAGGAGAAACGTACTTTCTGAAGAGTCCGCTTCCTTCCGGGGCAGAATCATCACTGCCACCATCCTCATCAACTTGCTTTTCCGTGATGATGAGGGCCTTCATGATGGGACCCATGCCTTCCACCTCCCCAACGAAGTAACCCTGAGGTCACGCGGACAAGAAAATTATAAACTACAGATAAATCAAGACCAATCAAAATCATTGTTGGGTAAGTATTAAATTATTGGGTAAGTATGAAACGAAAGCAAAACTGAATAATTTTGGTGCTTTTAATTATGGCTCAATATTTCTGCATGTTTCAAACTTCGTGATTGCATTTAGAATGCATTTGAGTTTTCAAATAAGATGTTGAAACATGTTAAAAAAATTATTATTTATTCAAAAGTTCAACAGTTTTGTTTATATATTTTTATTTGTTTATTTTATTATTTATTTTACAACTATTCAATAAATTACGAGATATAAATGAAGTGTAAGAATGCAGAATGAAGTGTTCACTTGTCGATTGGGCATGCTGGAGAAGATGACGAAGCCACTGTCATCGATGAGGTAGCAGGAGACGTCCTCCGTCTCATTCTGTCGTTGGCAATTATTTTAACCACTTTAAATTTCTTAATTATTAAAGATGCATTTCAATTTCGCTTATAAATTAATGATTGTTGGACGGCGTGGAGGTCCCCGGGACTACCATAGTTACGAGGAACGATGGGGAATTTACTTTCGTTTTTTAACAAGTCTATTCCATGAAATAAACTGGTTAAAAAATGTAAACTAAATTGTTGCGTCGGATGTTTGCAACGCGTTCAGAAGCCGCAGTTTCATTTTGAGTGGCCGACAGTTTGATGTGGGACGGTGGGCCACCCCGATGTGCACGCTGCAGAAGAAACGAGGCAGGTAATGGCGGGTTATAAGGTGGGTGGAGCGCGATGTTGTCTTGTCGTTTGGATGAACTTTTAATGAACTTGCATGGACCTACTCAACAGTTCACGCTTCAATTCAAATAATAGAGCTTAATTTCATTTTGAGACCTTGAACATGAAATTAGTTTCAAATAAAACCACACAACGGGTGCACCTTATTTCTAAATTGTGGTGTACAGAACACACATATTACTCTAATATGAAAAATAATAAATCAACACATTGAATTAATTTATCTGACGATTATACATCCTTTGATACATTTGAAATAATTGAGAGTTGGACTCACAACTCCAGCCATGCAGACATGTTTGCACTCCTTGTTGTCGTCGCAGAACGTCATGGAGGTGACGACATCGAATATAATTTGACTAAACGTATCCGTTTTTAAGGCTGCACCAACCACACCAGCCACAGCTTCCTTGACGCTGTCGTCGTCATCTTCCTCAACATCTTCTTCCTCCTCATCGTCGTTATCATCATTTTTGAAATCGTGGCGATGGTAGTGGTGGATGGTAGATTTCATGGAAGGATTCGTGTGGCTGCTGATGACGAGAGGAGTGCTGATGATGATTGTGTTCTGAGTTCTTGAGGTTTCTGAGTGTTGGAAGTGTTTATACTTTGTTTATTTATTTGCTTTTTTTTATCTATTAAATTTTTTATTATTTCCGAAAAATCTGCATTTAATTTGCGTGCAAGTGTACAACAACGAAAACCTGGCCATTAAACCACTGATAGCAAAACATTATTTTTATCGTTCCATCAACCGAGCTTGTCACCAGCCAGTAAAGCAATAAAATTATCGAAAAATTAGTCTTAACAAACAAATAAACGAACGAACGAACGAGCTTACGAATGAAAGAACGAACCATTCAAGGAAGGCACGATGAATGTGAAGACATTCTCCCCGTTGTAAGCAGATAGTTTGTAGTAGGTCTGGTCTGTTGTTGATGTCCTATTCTGCATCATGCGGCTGGGAGGTGTTGAAAAAATTTAATTTTTGAAAATGAAAAACAAACAACAGACGATTTTTTATTGAGAAAATGTTTAAACTCTTGTTCGAAATCAGATGCTTTAAGAGCTGTAATGGTCAAAATAAATTTCCCGCTAATAATATTTCAAAATTATTGTTCTGAAATCCAAAAAGTGATGGCTTAAACGGAAGTTTCACTATTGGGCCTTAAAATGGTCGAAGTCGAATGTCAAACTGTAGTCGAATGTTTGGCAATGCCAAAACTTCAGTGCATCTACAATAATTAAACTTTTAAAATTATTGAACATCGGTTAATTGGACCATCAGCTCAATCGCTCAAGAGCCGGCTGATCTGCCGTTTTAACGTTTTAAATTCATCCACGGTTGCTTCATTCGCTGAAAATTTTTACCGTTCAGCGCGGGAGTTGATTATTTTGCGCCGAAAATGCAAAAAAAGAAAATTTTTTAAAAAAGATTTTTTCAAAAGTGAAATTTTTAAAAGCTCATTGCATAAACAGAAGCTGTCAGTGATTGTAACTCAAAATGCTCTAAAGTAGTTTATGTACGTACATATTATCAAAAGTGTGCGGCCTGTTATGAATCGCTGCCAAAATATAGTTATGCAGGAAATTCAGCTGCGATGTTCCAAGTACAATCATGTTGTTCTAAACAGACATTGAGGTATCGTGATACATACAATCACATAACTTGATATACAAACACGTACCTAAGAAGGTATCGTGATACATACAACCACATTATTTGATATACAAGCACGTACCTAAGAAGGTATCGTGATACATACAACCACATTATTTGATATACAAACACGTACCTAAGAAGGTATCGTGATACATACAACCACATTATTTGATATACAAACACGTACCCAAGAAGGTATCGTGATACATACAACCACATTGTTTTTTATTCAAAACCTGTACACATGAAGGTATTGGTGTACATGTACAATACACAAATACACAACCGCATATACACAAACACGTGCATACGAAGGCATTGTATTACACAAAATCATATTTTTGTCCGTAAGTACTTATAAACAAACGTAGAGCGACACTTGCAATACAATTATCACACACGCACAACCACGCGTGCCCGTTGTAAGGAGTTCTGCAAGAAACCACGGAAAAACTTTTCAAGCTCCAACGCGTTCGAAGCAGCCATGCGTATTGCGCTATATTAATGTTAATATCATCATCTCCATCATCATCATCATCACCACTATCATCATCATCATCATTATTTTCATCATCATCACCATCAGACAGCCAATCAAATTGTACATTTTGTAACACGCATTTCAATGGAACGCGGGGTTGAGGTGACTTGTACTAACAGGACGTCATCTGGGGAAGGTTCCGGAGGGTCTGAAGAAGGTGATGATGATGATGATAGCAACAACGAAGATGATGATGACGACGACGATGACGACAACAAAGACGATGAGGAAGAATGCGGCGATGAACTGTCTAAGCCGGGGTTAGACGATGACGATGCCGGGGTTGGGTTGGGAGGGGTTGGAAAATGTGGTTGCGATAACGATGATGACAATGATAAAAATGATGATGACGATGCGAATGAGGACCAGGATGATGACGACGACGATGACGATTGTGATGTAATTGGAAGGTATCTCGTAAGGCCACCTTTCGTCCCGATGAACAAAAACTTTACAGATCCGTTTCTAAAGTTAACGAGAGGAACACAGACAACTTGAAAAACAATGTCATCAACAAATGTCATCAAAAACAAAACAAAAAAATAACGATCAGCAATGAACAACGTCATTATGCATTTTTAATATTTTTTTTTCATAATTAAATTATTCATCTACATAATTAACGTGACACATTGGTAAGAGATAGTAAAAATAACTACAATGACGATAAAATAAAATTATCGCATTATTCATGGCAATAATGAATAAAATCATTTTAATATTATTATTGATAAAAGAAAGGGCAAAAGAGGCTAACTGGAAAAGGTTATTTTGGTACATTTGCTTGCCCCAGATGTCTGCAACTCCTCTGGTTGCTCGGGCGTCATACAGCAAACTGTTCAGTAGCTCCACGTTGCCTGTGCAGTGCAGCCAGCCACGTCATTTGGGATTTTGTTCGTTTTTTTTTTTGAATTTAAGACTAAATTTTTATTTTTTAGGTTATTATTATTATTAATGTTAATGTGCTTGTTGTTGCTAGTATTGTTATTATTATCATTATCATTGTTTGTTTTTTATTATCACGAAATTACCGCTAAAGACACAGCAGCAGATATTAATACGTAATATTGAAAATCACAGTCCGGCTGTTTGTAATGATTATTGGTTGAGACACCTCGCATACGTTCCAAAAGTCCGGTTGAAATTCGTACAAAGAAGTCTCGTCCAGCAGCTCCCGACAGAACGCGACGAGTTTCGACCGTCATTCTGCCTTTTCAAGTCCTTCTGCCTTTTAACGCCCTGACATCGCGTTACTTCGAGAGGATACGATCGAAGTTGTGGAACTAATGTAATGCCTTTGAGACCAACTTCCTCAGATCAAAAGCTTTCAAGATATCCAAATATTCCAAATATTCTCGCAACCTCCACAATAATTTGAACGACATTTTCAAACATGTTTAATTATATTTATGAACTCTTGTTAAATTTCAACTTTAGGCTGCCGCTTGTCAACATTACATAGTCGGATGTTTTTTGCAATGAACTAGTTCACCATGCAATGTCGTCATCGTACTCTATTTATTGCGACAGAAATGCTGTTTAAAACTAATCAACTCTCGCTGAACTCACTCACTATGAAGATTAATATATTAATTTATTCATCCTTTTATTCAATTACACGTTCTTATTTTAATTATTTTATTCCATTTTATATCTTCCTTTTTCTCTTTCCATTTTTTTATTGTAATTGTTTTTATTTGACTTCCGGCTGTGTCATAATAGCATCCTCATTCATAATTTCTACCGGTGCCAATTAGTCTAATTTGAGAGTTGCTCTTAGACTTTTATGTTATAAATTTAAATTTACATTTTTTGTGCACCTGGATTGTTCAGAAAATTGTAGTATTTGATTTTTTGGGAACTTATATTTTGTTGTTTTTCATTAAGTAAATTTTGAACTTTTTAATTTGAATTCAGTGTAAAAATTCGCGCACAAATAAAGTACTAACTATCGCAATTTTATTTTGAATTAAATTTGGAATAAAATAATCTCATTTAAATCACACGTTTTCAATGCAATTTGAATTTAGTAGGAGTTTAAATTTTGACTCGGCTGGCCATTTTACCGAAATAATCCTCCAAAAATAATGGCGACAACTTTCCTGTGTCTGTGATGGATGTGTTCTTATGCCTTCATGCCTTATGCTCTCATACGAAGCTCCACCCACGTACAGGGCGGCGTGATGGTTTAATGGTTAAAGTCGCCTGGTGCTGTTTCGCAGTGACCGAGTTCGAATATGACAAAAAGATCCCCGCCAATCACATGCTTCTTGTGTGATGCGTCGTTTAGCACGTATTCGTTTACGATGTTTGGAACTTTGAAAGAGTGTAATTGACCTTTAACCTTTTTAACCCATTTAACCTTCAAATTCAAGAACGAAGCCCCAATCTCAGAATGAAACTACTAACAATGTCTGTTGATGGTGTTGGAGTCGTTGTGGTGCTTCAGGAGGAAGAGGAGGAGCATCTCCTCGTGCGAAGCTCCTTCCACGTGCAGACTCTCCTCATCTGTCAGACAGTAATTCCTGGGTGGGTTCGTCAATCCAACGTTTATTTTTAAACTATTAATTTTTTAATTGGTTCTGGATGTAGCCTAAATCAGGATTCTTGTTGCGATTGAACCAGGTGACCGAAAGATGAATCATGGCGCCTTAATTTTATAACCATCTGGTCAGTAATAGAATACGCCCGAAAAAATGATTCATCGATGTATATGCCTTCAGAAAATATTAAAAACATGAGAATCTACTGACCACTTGGCGATTGTGTAGTTGCTCGTCTGAAAGTCCAGGATATCTGCAGAAAATAAATTATTCAGCGTAGGGCAAACCATATTATAGCTTTCAATTTTTGTTCATGAAAAGTGAAACTGAACAGGTATGACATTACGTCTCTACGAAACTGAAACTGAATTAAGTGACCTGTCTAACGATTGACACAACAGACAAAAAACAATTTTCAAATTATTACACCACTTACTATATAGTTTGTATGGTAAAATCATTACAAACTGAATTATTAGGCTAATACTATGAATAAGAATCTGGAAAAACTTCCCAACAAGATTAACAATGAAATAAAATGAAATGTTGTAATAGATTTATTTACTTCGTCACCATCATTACGTTAATTCCGATTGGAATTTTTAACAGGCAGGAAGTTCATTTAACATTTAAAATTGTTTTTATTTGATAAATTTCATCACAAAATCGTAAAAATTACCAAAATCCTGATAAGAAACGGTTGAGTCCAAGTAAAACTGGCCATAACCTGGCGACAATGACAAGCCGAGTCTGCTCAATGTGTTGTGTTTATTCATGTTGGTTCGTCACATAATTTAACAACAACAACATAAACAACAACATAAACAACAACAACAACATAAACAACATCATAAACAGGAACGACAACAACATAACTAAAATAATTTTTTAGCAAACATACTTACCACGTTAAAAACTACAGTTAGAAATTACGTTAACTGAAGTAAATCTTAATATAATTTAAAAGGTGCGAGAACTTTTGTTTGATTCATAAAATTGAAATCTTGCTCAAAGTTTTGTCGAATTATTTAACAAACATATATTTTTGGAAACATTTAGATAAATTTTTTAAACATACTTTTTCAACAACGTGTTAAAAAAAGTTTCAAACTAGTTTAAAACTTGTAAAAAAGCATTCATATAAAGCGCGCTCTATCTGTGCATGGTTGGTTGGGCCACAATTATTTGAAAGATAATTTTTTCAAAGTTTTTTGCTTTTGCAATAATGAGAAGCGTGGTTCGTTACAATTTGCTTGTAAGATCGACAACAAAACGGCGCACTGCAACAGTAACAGCAAAAAAATGGCAGCTGGAAAAAAATTTGTTTGTAATGGCTGATGGCTGTCGTGATGTTTCCCTAATGAGGCACATGCACAGACTGGAATGTTGTTGCTGGGGTAGGAGGAGGGGCGGAGGTCCTTGAAGCTTGTGTTGCTGTTGGAAGCTTTAGAGGGGACCATGTGCCAAAATCGGACATGATTGAAGAGTCAAGATTTTGTTTGTTGATCTCATTGGCTTTTTTAATGCCAATCTTTATTCAGTTAATTTAGTTGATCAATATTTTATTAACAATAATAATTTAAACAATCCTATAATTTGTTTGGTGACCAACAACTTCTGCATCTTCTGCAATTGGCGGATTTTTGGAAAGCGGACATTGAATTTGTCAAGAGTAAAAATTATTTATTTGCTACTGATCTGTTACTTACGACAACAAATTGTGCCAAAACAAGTTGTTGTGAACTTAATGTTGCACTTCAAGATGAAGACATTCCAATGGTCAGTGGAGCATCAGCCAAGATGCGTTGGGCGGCAAGGATCTCCAGTAAGGCAGACAGCAAGTTTGGCGCAAAATAAATAGGTCGTCGGAGTTGAAAAACTTTTAAATCTGAAATTACAAAAGTATAAAGTAAATAATTGTCAAATAAACCACAAAATATGACAGAAATATTTCAATCCAGTTTTATTCTTGCGTAATTTGACGATATTAAATGAATAGATAGATTTGAGATGGATGACAGACGAGAATGTTGTGGTGTCCAATAACAAATTAAGAAGTATCATGGAATGAAGCTGGTTAACAAGGAAGATGATGTAAAAATTTTATTTTTTGTCAATCCTTTCCAGGTTGAGTAATTTTGTGACAGTAGTTAGTGTATTTAAAGTTTTTAGCAGCAGATTCTTCTCGCATGTATGTTTGTCGTAATTCTCATCTCAAGCATACGTAAAATGACGTAAAACATTATTTCACTTATTTAAAAATGAACATTTTTGAGAAATCTGTTTTTGAAAATATCTGCCCGTTGTAAACACGACACACACACACCAACACACACACCAACACACATACACACACACCAACACACACATCAACACACACACACCAACACACACACCAACACACACACACACCAACACAAACATATAATGACACTCCCGCTCAAACAAACACTTAGTCACATACAAACATTTACACACGCGCACATGACATATAATGCCCACACTCACAAAAATACACACACACACACATAAACACACACACATGCACTTAATGAACTCACGAGAAAGGTGTGTCATCGATAGGAATGTAGTGGAAGGTGTTGTTTGGTGAGAGGATCAATCTTTGCTATCCACCAAGCGTCCATTCAAATATGTTCCATCCGAGAAGATGTTTGAAATAAATTTGTTTCATACGTTAGTTTTGTCATATTCTATTCACACAAGGGAGTAAATTAATTCATCAGTTAGTTAGAAAATGTGGTTACCTTATCGCTGAAGATGGTCATAGATGGCAGGTTAATGCTTCCTGTCTGTCTCGAGATCATCATCTTCTTCAGCTGTTGGTTGTGGTGGTTGGTCGGTTGGTTAGTTTTAACGATGAATTGTTGCCATGCTTATAATTATATTTTTATCAAATCAATGTTTAATTCAATTCTAAAAAAACATATACAAACACATTTTTTAAAATAGACTAAAACAAAACAAACGGTGAGCTTAAAAACTGCACGCATAATTGTAATTCAACATTTTAATTCAAATTTTTGGCAAGATCAGAAAACAGTAACAAAGAAAAATTTATTTTTATTTCATCGAAACTTTGCCATATTTGTTGGATAAGGTGAGGATCTGTGAACAAATTGAAAGAACAACTCATTGAACAACTCATTGAACAACTCAGTGAACAACTCAGTGAACAACTCAGTAAACAACTCAGTAAAAAACTCAGTGAACAACTCAGTAAACAACTCAGTGAGCAACTCAGTGAACAACTCAGTGAACAACTCAGTAAACAACTCAGTAAACAATTCAGTGAACAACTCAGTAAACAACTCAGTGAACAACTCAATGAGCAACTCAGTGAACAACTCAGTAAACAACTTACTGAACTACTCATTGAACTACTCAGTGAACAACTCAGTGAACAACCAAACACTACCATCATACAAACAAACAAGTCCAGTAAACTATCTGACCTGGTTGTCAACGTCATGGAGTTCCATGTGCTTCAAGTCCATAGTGTATGCCGACCTTCTCTCCGCTTCCTTCAACTGTTCGTTCGATGGAGTTAGTGTGATGTTGTTGATGTTTTTGTTGTTGTTGATGTTGTTGATGATGATGATGTTGTTGTTGTTGATGATGTGGATGTGGTTGTAGTAGTGGTTGTTGTAGTTATTGATGTTGTTGTTGATGATGTCGTTGCTAATTTGTTTTTGTTGTTGTTGTTGATGTTGTTGTTGATGTTGTTGTTGATGTTGTTGTTGTTGATGTTGAGAATTAAATTAAAAAATACGTCACCACGTTTCAACACTTAGGTGCTGTGGTTTATGCACTGGTGGGTGTTGGTGCGTGCTTCAAGAGATTTTAAATGGAGTTCTCTGTGATGTTATATTTCTAGCAGATATTTTGAGAAACATCGCAACATTTTTACAGCAGCGATAATGAAAACATCAACAACAATAACTAATAAAAACAACAACTAACCATTATCACAGCAGAAACAACAACATCTACAACACATCAACACACAACAACAACAACATCAATAACAACAACAATAACATCATGGATGTTATTGTTGTTGTTATTGATGTTGTTGTGTGAATCAAAAACAACAACATCAACAACAACAACAACATCAACATCAACAACATCAACAACAACATCAACAACATCAACAACTCCCACTGCTACAACAACAACGAACCAGTGGATGATAGTTGGGATGGAACAACGTGTAACCATTGTCTGTGATTGCAAACCAGTAACTGTTTGATCCTATCTGATTGTTGTTGTTGTGTTGATGTTGTTGTTGTGTTGATGTTGTTGTCGTTGTTGATGACAATGTTATTGTGTTGTTGTTGAGGCTGATATTGTTGAAAATTGTGACAAGGCAATCTTTTGATTTTTTGGTTTGTTTTAGTGTGTCTTATTATAACTAAAAACTTGAAACAGTAATTCTTAAATCAGTACTTCTAATCAATAACAAACGACTTTTCAAAGTTTAAAAAATATTTTTTCTTGAACGCCAACAACAAAAAAATTGATCGACATTCTCCCCAACAATTCGTCTCACCACGTTGCTCTGGAGGGTCTTGAGGAGGTCGTTGATGGGGAGGTCTGTGGCAACGACACCCAGCAGCTTCCGACTTCTCGCTGACGTCGAATTCTTTATGTGAGAAATTTTTCAACATTTAATTTGTTTTTAATTAATTAATTAATAACAAATTAATTAACTAATAAAATTAATAACAAATTAATTAACTAATAAAATTAATTAATTAATTAATAACAGATTAATTAATTAATAAAATTAATTAAATAATTAATTAATCAATACAGATCCATGAAACACTTTTAGACTCGTAGGTATCGAGTGGAGATTAGTTGTACCCGACAAGTGTACTATCCCCACGACCAACACAATCTAACTGCACTTCACGCGATTCAAAAACAGCCCTACGTTATGCAGCAGGTCTGGGTGATATTTTAAAATTCCTGCCCGTGTAATTTTGAACGTGTTATTTCTTAAACGACAAACTAGTGCGCTCTTCAGATGACGTCACCAAATTATTACCTCCCTCCTTCTCTCCCCCCCTCCGTTCTCTAGCACGCCATCTTGATAATTTATAAGAATAATTTTTTTGTGATTTCTAATTTTTTCATTTTTTCAAATTTTAGTTATTTCAATTTTTATTATGACATTTAATATTTTCAAATTGTCTTCAATCTAACTGAAACTCTGTACAATTCCCTTTGATGGTATGCGACAGGGCATAACTGTTTAATGGGACAGGTTCGAAAATTTGTACAAGTTTATGAGTTTAAAATTTTATAAAAACAAAAAGTACTTGGAAGAAAGAAAAGTGATAGAGCCATAAACCACAGAAACATAATTTTGTACTAATTACAAATTTTTATCATTAAAATTTCAGTACCAACATTTAATTGACTCGCTGGAGATGAAGCAGAAAATCTGAATCGTGAATACGAATGCAAAGAAGAGACTCCCTGCGAGCACTTAATCCTTTTCATCTGTCCTTGGTTTTCAAATAAGAAAATTAGCTTACTCTTTTTCCTCTTCTCTTTTTCTCTACTCCTCTCGCCTTCTCTCTCTCTCTCTCTCTCTCTCTCTCTCTCTCTCTTTATTTTTCTTACTATTACTCAATTTTTATCGTTTATCCAGTCTTCGTTACTTTCAAATTATCTAAAGGTCATCAATCTTTATTTTGAACAAATGAAAAGTCATAATAATAAACAGAAGAAAATGAAAAAATAGATGGATATAATGATATATTGATTGATTGATGTTTTAAATGAAATGAATAACATAAGATAACGATTGTCGTCTGGTAGGATGTGAGGCAGTCGAGGAGAAATGTGAATGATAAAAACTATTTAATCAGTTAATACACATATGAATATATAAATATTCCAAAAATATACAACGAACCATTTAGTCACTAAAAAACAGGCATAACAACTTCATAAGGGGAGGACCTAGACAAAGTTGACATGGGGCCAGAATTCGACTTGCCTAAATTTGTCGAGAGGCCATAAACTGCCAAAATTAGCTGGTCGACCAAAATTAGGCTAGCGACCTATTTTTGGCTTATCACGCACTTTTTTCTGTCAATTTTGATTTAAAACTTAATTTTCGTGAGTAAAAACTAAGTTTTAATAGGAATAAGGCTCTCCCATAAATTTGCCACTAAGCTTCACTATTCGCATGTCATGAGTTAGAATGAATTTTATTCGCTTATAGAAATAACTACGGCAAAGATTGAGCAATTTTACTCAGTTGTTGAAAGACACTTGAGATGTTGAATCGTTGAGTTTAAACTGCCTATGTAGTTTTATATATCAGAATTATAACAAAATAATTGATATAAATTTTCCTTGCTGCATCTGCAAACAAGACTGCCTTGTGCACAAAGTCAAAAAAATAATGATGTATGTATGGTGAAAGTAAGAGGAAAGTGGCATTGTTTCGATGGTAGGTTAACGGCAGAAAGATGTTTTGGTGATCTCCTCTCCATAACCAATGGAGGCCAGAAAGTGAGAGACGCAGTTCAAAAACTGGAGATGACGAAGATGTGATGAGATAGGGAGTGGCCAAGTCGTTCCAGTTGCTGGTAGGTCCGACGAGTTTCAAGTGCAAATTAAATAAAACCTCATGAACATGTACTTGATTATTATTAAAATAAAATACGTTAAATGTACATACTAATAATTTTAATGAAAGGGCACCAAAGTGGTCGCATTCGATATAATATTTTTTAAATTAAATTTCATGTTTCAAATTATTTCAACATTAAGACATAAGAAGTAATTGTCAATTGTATTTAATGTTTAACACATAATGTTTAAAATTATTTAAAACAGATGGTATTTCAGTTTGATAATCTTAGGTCCAGTGTATAGTTCAAACTTCATATTGCTTCACTATCACGATGAGGCACTGCGCTTTTGGGATTCCTACAAGTTACAGCTACTTGTTTTCAACGCTTGAGAATGCAAATAGAATATTGTTTATTTAACAAAAAATCATTTATCGAGCAGCTCAACTGAAAAATAATAATAATTTTAAAAATCATTAAATTCTAAAAAACCTTTAAATTGTAAATGTTTTTAATTCATAATTTTTGATTTATATGGTAACAAATATAAAAAAAAACTAGACGTATCTCACATGAAATCCAATTTTCAATATTATTAAATAAATATGAGGAGTAGCATGCTAGAACATTGGAGCAGTGGTAATTGCTTGCCTCATGCGAACCTAAAACATTTAAAAACAAATCCAAGATTAATCAGTAATTGATGTCCAGTAGAGTTAAACTGTTCAAACTCGAGCAACGTCCGCGTTGAAAGCATAAAAATGCACTAAATAGTTGACTATTTGGCAGTGAACGGTTGAGATGGTGGATTTTGAATGGTGGATTTTGAATGATGGATTTTGAATGGTGGATGGTGTATATTTAGGATGGTAAATGCTGGAGATGTTGGATTTGGAGAGCCTGCGTCTAAAGTGTGCATGCTTCAGAAAATTTACAACAGATGCAAGGAAGATGTTGGCGATAGCTGAGTTTGGAACTGTTCCAGGTTTATGATTGAAAGAAATTATGGATGTATACATCCTTTAAATAATAATTTTTAATAAGATTTTTTAATAATAATAATAATAATAATAACATATTGTTATAAATGGTCGGGAAACGACGAGTTCGTTTTATCTCCAGTAGAAAATAGTGACAGGAAATAACTTTCGAATTATCGATTTATTGACCTACAAAACAATAAGCTTTCCGAATCACACTTCACTAACTTTTATCGCAAATGCAATAAAAAAAACAACGTAGAGTCAAATGTCAAATATCGCTTCCGACAACTAACAATCAACCGCAATAAAAACATGTTCCAAAAATGGAACGTTAGGCTGTTAAAGGTTAAATATTCAAAGTCACTCCATGTCTCAATATATCGCAGGTTTTAACAACGCTTTCCGAACCTACTGGATAACTCGCTGCCAGAAGGTTCCAGTTTCTTCTGGAACTCTGTAAACTCGCAGGGCCCCTAGCAAATTCATTTGTGACAATTATAACAATATGATATGTGTAATATGTACATTGACTTCACTGGCTGGTAACACAATGAGCAAAGCATGCAAAAATTTTTTCATAGTCAATGTTCACTAAAAAAATAAAATGATGGCGTTAAAAACATTTTTGAAAAAAAAAAATTAAAAAAAAAATGAGAAAGTGTTGAATAAACAGAAAACGTGGGCGTAAAAGAACGCAACTTACAACGACATCAACATCAACAACACCAGCAAAAGCAACAACAACAACACAATAACAACAACAACGACAAAAACAACACAATAACAACACAATAACAACAACAACACCACCAGCAAAAACAATCTTGTAGAATGAACATTATCAGCGTTCATTGACATTTAACTGACGTTCAACAAGCATTCTGGATTAACGGAATCTCTCCTCAACAATGAAAGTTTATTTCTTTTGGGAAAAATTTTTTTGTTTCCATTCTTTGCACACGCATTTACAGATTCTATTGCAATCTTATTATGACTCCTATGTTGTACAACAACAACAACAACAACAACAACAACAACAACAACAACAACAACAAAAACATTAACAACAACATCAACAACAACATCAACAACATTTGTATAAACGATTTTATGTTGACAACAGTAAGCACTGCAACATTACCGACAGTAAAAACAAAAAGTAGCAAAACCAACAACAAAATATCAACATAAAATGAACTATTCCACCAACCAAACTAACTCCAAAGCAACCATAACAACGACAACAACACCAACAGCAATGGTTACAACATAATGGTTAAAACATAAACAACATAATGGTTAAAAATTTTTTAATAATTTTTTAAATTATTAAAAAATTTTTAATAATTCGCCTGTTTGTGGCGGTACACCATCGTTGTAGTCGATGTCGATTGGTGGTTGTGGTGGCGATACATTGTGGTTGTGTGGTCTCTGTTGATTGGAGGATGATGGGACACCCATTAAAAAATTAAAGAAAGACAAACGCCAAAAATGGCGTTTAAGAGTTTGATGGCAAAATGATGGTGATGATATTTATGATGAAAGTTGAGACAGTTGTTTTTATAAAGATTTGTCGTTATTTTGTGGTTTATCTCATCGCCGGGTATTTTATGGGTGCTGGTTCATTTGGTTGTGAATGTTTTTGAAAAAAAAATAAATGTGTGTTTTGGTTGATTTTGTTGTGGTTGTTGTTGTAGTTGATATCTTTGTCGTTTTTGTGGTTGTCGTTTTTGTCGTTGTTGTTTGCTGTTGAAATGAATGTTGTGGTTTCTGTTAGTGTTGTTGTATTTGTTGTTGTTGTTGTTGTGTTTGTTGTTGTTGTTATTGTTGAAATAATTTTTAATATTAGAAGCAATATTTTTTCATTGATGTTTTTGTTCATTTTTTTTTCAGTTATTTTTGTAAAAAAAAATATTAGTTCAATTTTGTAAAAATGGTGTTGGTGTTTCAGTTGGTTTTCGCCTGTTATTGTTAATTTTTTTATTTGTTTTTTTTGTGCTAATAAACAGCGTACTATTGCCATGTTGTAGTTGTTGCTGTTGTTGCTGCTGCTGATGATGATGTTGTTGTTGATGTTATTTTTTATGGTGGTTTGTTTTTTGTTTATTTGTTGATGTTGTTTGTTGATGGTAGTTTGGTGACGTTATTTATTTGTTTGTTGGTGTTGTTTGTTTGTTGATGTTGTGTTGTTGGCGTTGTTTTTGTTGATGTTGTGTTGTTAATACTGTTGATGTTGTTTATGATATAACTAAAAACAGTTTTCCTTTCGTAAATATATCTACATTCATTTCTTTTACAGCGTTGCGTTTTTCGCCAACAATTTTGAACTGTTTTTTCACGGATATAAAAATAGGTCAGAAAATATTTTCCTTCATGGTTTTTCGATGTTGTTGTATTTTGAACTTGGCTGTTGTTGTTATGCATTGCTGTTGGTGTTGTTGTCGTTGTTATGGTTGCTTTGGAGTTAGTTTGGTTGGTGGAATAGTTCATTTTATGTTGATATTTTGTTGTTGGTTTTGCTACTTTTTGTTTTTACTGTCGGTAATGTTGCAGTGCTTACTGTTGTCAACATAAAATCGTTTATACAAATGTTGTTGATGTTGACAACAATGGACCATCACAACCACCGATCAGCAACCACCACAACCACCGATCAGCAACCACCACAACCACCGATCAGCAACCACCACAACCACCGATCAGCAACCACCACAATCACCGATCAGCAACAACCAAAACAACAATGCGTCACTGCCACAGCCACATATAAATTGACACCAACAATGCTTTACCAAGTCAAGATGAGACAGCCAATCAAAATGAGGAGAAACAGACGCCGGAAATTGCATTTAAGATGACGCTGAAGAAGTTGACGATCATGATGGTGATGATAATGGTGATGATGGTGATGTTAATGGTGATGATAATGGTGATGTTGATAATGGTGATGTTGATGATGGTGTTGATGAGGGTGATGTTGATAATGATGATAATGGTGATGATAATGGTGATGATAATGTTGATGATGGTGATGATGATGATGTTGATGTTGATGATGGTGATGATAATGATGTTGATGATGATGTTGATGATGATGTTGATGTTGATGATGTAGTTTGTGTCTGGTGGTTATGACAACGTGGTGGTAGAGATATTGATGATGATACTCGCAAAGAAGATGATGAAAATATTTTTTTAATTTATTGAAATAGCTTCAAAAAATAATGAAGAACAGAGCATGGTGATGCAGGCTTGAAAATATCGAAAAAACACAAACGAATCAATAAATGCTGGTGCTAGTTGATACACGGTGGAAATTGAGAATTTACATGTGCATCAATTTCTTAAAAGTCTCCTTTTTATAAACTTATAAGTTTTAATTTAGGAAAACTCAAGCAAACTTACGGAACTTCATCAAAAATGTTTTCCGAGTCTAAACATCCTAATTTATACTTTCATTTTATTCCTCAACAAACATTAAGCGCTAAATATTACTTCTTTTTGTTCTTTGTTTCAAAATTTTCCGCCTTCTATGCTGCCTTCTTCCAGTCAAGCTTGAAACAGATCTCTGGAGACCCATCTATTACGATGAATTAATGATTGATTGAGCATTTGACTTGCTGACCATCGAGATAACAGAACTGTTTGTTACCTGTACTTAATTTGTTTGATTGTGTTTGTTGCTGTGGTATGTGCGAAAGATCAAAGGCCACTCATTACTTTTCCTTGAGTGATTTCGTCTACTTTTAATTCAACAACAACTAATATGAAATCAACAACACGGCTGGAAAAACAACACTAACTCAAACGCAAGAACGCAGTGACGGCGATAATAATTGTTTTTATTTTTTTTTCTTCATGATACCCATTAAACTAATTTTTTAACTCCATAATAACCTTGATCAATGGAAGCAGAGAAAATGTGAACAGTTGGAAAGATATAGTCAATAACAACAGTGATGATGGCCGGAAGTGATATAAAGTCAGCACTGCAACATCTTTCGGTAAGAGATTCTATCCGTAAAAATGTAATAGGAACATGGCAAACAAAACAACAACAAAATCCAACAATAAAATACTCGAAACTACAAAACTAGCCAGTAAATTCGTGTCAATAAGTAAAATAGACATACCGAAAATAAGATGAACGCAACAAACACAACAGCACAAAAAAACAAACATTAAAATACACATGAAACAACCTAATAAACGAAACAACACACACACACACACACACACACACACACACATGCACACATGCACACATCCAAGTGGTACAACAATAGTGTCGAAATAACTCAGCATTACATCAGCCAGCAACAAAACCATCACGGCAACCCAGCAAAACAGCAACGAGACATTAACACGCCGTACTATGCGCTACGTTATCACAGCTGAAAAAGAAGAAAAATCATTGAAGCAACAGCAAAAACAACAACACCATCAGTATGATTGAACAGCGAAGCAGCTGAACAACAATACAGAAACCAGCCAGCAAGGATAGGGAGACAACACAAAATTAGTAATAATAATAATTATAATAATAATATTCTTAATAATAATAATAATAATAACAACAACAAATAATACTCATTACTAACATCCTTTTGGCCGAAGACTGGCTTGGAAACTGTCACAAGCGCTCCTAAGCCCTGCACGGTTGTGGGTGGGTTGAGAAATAATCATTAATTATTATTATTATTATTGTTATTAAATGAATGGATGAACAAATGAATGAACCAATAAATGGATGAATGAATGGATGAATGAATGAACGAACGAACGAACGAACAAATGAATAAACAAACAAAATATATGTGTATAAACAATGTTATGTGAACAAGAACATACACTTATGTAACAATAACTGATTAGCTGAGAAACAACAAACCCCAAGACGAAAATTTGTAAGAGTTTGAATAAAATATTAGTTTTCAACGTGATGTTACGTGCCGAGATTAAGAAGTCTGAACTTATGAGATGCACCTAATACGCTGAGTTGGTGTGAAAGAGATAAGCTTCCGTCAACTATGATTGATCGCCTACACGAAATGATGGGTTGAGTACGTGGATGGATGGATGGGTGGATTGATGGATGGATGTGTGGATAGGTGGATGGATAGATGGATGGATGGATGGATGAATGAATGAATGGGTGGGTGGACGAATGGATGGGTGGATGGATGGGTAAATTGATACGGTAAAACTTTTTTTATACATCGGCCTCTTTGATTTCACCGTCTGCATTTGTTGCCAGGATATCCCCCCATGTTCCTTTCATCATCCTAGCGTGCGGTATCTGCCTCATTCGTGCTCTTTTTTTTAAACTCAACATAGCAGCGCTGTCCTCACGATTAAATGTTTCAACATCATTTCTAATGCCATCAACAGCTTTACTCAGCGTTGACTTAATGGTCTTCATTTCATTTTCAATCGCTTCTACATTTTTACGTACTTCACTCTTTAAAACATCAGCGAAGCTAAACTTTAGCCTGGCCTATACATTCTGTATCTAAGAGCTAACTTGTGATTATGACTCATCCAGCTCTGCAAGTTTCTTTGCAATGACATTTATTTTATTATTAAGCAGAGTAAATTTTTTTTTAACGTATGTATGTACGTATATATGTCTGTCTGTATGTTGTGTTGTGTGTGTATGTATGCATGTATGTATGTATGTATGTATATATGTATGGATGTATGTATGTATATATGTTTGCATGTATGTTTGTATGTTTTTTTGCATGTATGCAGGATAAGGTTCAAATGTATATATGGCTCAAATTGATGAAATCAAAAGCAAAGATGCAAGAATATCAATTGATGGATGAATGAATACAAAAATTGATTGATCTTGAAATATTTTATACATTTTGCAACTGAATATGCGTATGGATTGATGTATGGATAACTAAAAAGATGGATTTATAAATGATTAAGCATCTCTTGTGGCGGTTACCAAATTATATTAATAAAAATTCTCAAACATATCAACCAACGATCGAATGAATGATGTAACGAGCTTGAACAAAAGCTTGATTGATAATAATTTGATTATTCGTCGTTCACGCTGAAGAGGTTGCCGTTGCAGCCACAAAAACGTCGACGACATTGTTGTAGACGCCCCAATGAAGCCGCCCGCTCAGAAATGACAACTATTCATTCTTATGTGCGTTTTCATTGTTCTTTGCATATCAAGTCAACAACACACAAAATGTACTCCTGGCAACAAATAAATACACACACAGGTTCACGCGAAAGTCGCCTACACACACACACCACACGCACACAAACACAAACACACACACACAAATACAAACACACACATCCATGCACACTCACACATAAACAAATACACAACACACACACACACACACACACGCGCATTATTATGATAATTCAGTAAAGTTGAGATTCTTGCAGATGTGTTCGGTAGATTACTGTTGGCTGTTGGTTTGTCGAGGTGAGGTGAGATACGGCGAGGCTGTGTGCTTGCAAGCTGAGCCCTGATTGCTTGTTTAAGACGTTTTTATTGTTAATATAAGATCGTCAGCCGTCTGGCGGATTGTTCGCAAAAATGCGTTGTAAAAAGTGAAATATTGCATGGTTAAAAATATATGAAATATTTTTTTAAATAAAAACAAAATAAACAAAAATTTTTGTTTAATAATTTGATAATAAATTTTTAATAACTTTTAGTAGAATGAAAAATTGTCTGTTCATTCTCCAGCTGGCTATTTGCAAACTTAGCAATTTTATAAAATTATTTCATTTTTAAACTGAACATCAGAAAGATGAACGTGGTTGTTGTTGGTGGTGTTGTTGCTGTTGTTGTTGGTGTTGTTGTTGTTGTTGTTGGTGCTGTTGTTGTTGGTGTTGTTGTTGCTGTTGTTGGTGGTGTTTTCATGAGGTCAGCTACTGACCTCATGAAAAGTGCTCGCTTATGTTTGTGGCTTCGCAGTACATTCCTCTGTTGCACATCACAGAATTCTCAACAAATTAGTTTGATTTGGAAGCATGTTGATTGCTAAACCGAGATTTTTTCAATATTTTTTTTAAATATTAGGCCTTAAATGCTTTAAAAATTTGTACTGCCACGAGATTCGTTCTATCAGTTTTTGTTTCACATTTTCCAACAATATATTTTGAGCTGAACGTTTCAAAAAATGTATCAACGCAGAAAGATACCGTTGTGTTGCAACAGGTACGCAGATTATATTTGGGTTAAACATTTACCTGAATGTTTTTTCATTCAACTACTTAACAAGTGTAATGAGGATTCAAGGGGCTCATGTTCTTAATAAGCTCGCACGTGTGATCTGCACTCAATCGGAAGCTCCATTCTTTGATTCAAAAAACTGTTTTATACGAATTAATAAAAATGAAAATAAAAATAAAAAACAGTAATAAAAACCGAAATAAGGCAAAAATTATTCAGATACAGATTTCTGAGATAACGATGATTGTGACGAAAACTTCAAATTTCGGTTAATTTCTGAACTATACATAAGATGCTTTGAGTTGTAGTAGCTAGCTAGCAAACGTGCACACTAGTGAGTAGCAAGCCATTAAAACTATCCCATCCCATTATTATCATTTCTATCATCTCATCTTTTAACATTTCAATTGCAGACATCACCTCCTGTCATAGTAAAATAATTTATTTTCACTATAATTTAAATGGAAACTTTTAAAACTTGTTTGATAGTTTTGTTACAAAGGTAATTATTTTTTCATAATTTCGTTATTGAGTGGAACAAATGTTGGACCAGATGCACGATGTTGTTCTTGCATGTTGATACGTTGTTTATTGATTGACTAGGAATATATGATTGCGGTGAATGCATCTCTTTTTGGGCCTTTATCGTCATTACGAAGAAATCGAAACTCTTCTTTTACTACACCACAACAGATCATTTAAATAAAATGATAATGCGTAATGCAAACCGCTGCACACAGGAAGACGACAAAACATTTTTTGAAGAAGTATCAACAGTTTGTAGGAATACACTCCATGAACATTATCTCTGATGGAAGACAAACGCTCTTAACAGGCGCAGAATACGCATTTAAAAAAATAATACGCTTCTTCTCAAACGGTAAAAGGTCTTGAAAATATTTTCTGAATCTTAAAAAGCTGTTCTTGATAATCGGACTAAAATATCAAATGAAACACACACATAAAAAAAACAGAAACATACAAACAAAACAAAAACATACAAACAAAACAGAAACATACAATAAAAACACACAAATACAAACAGAACAAAAACATACAAACAAAACAAAAACATACAATAAAAACACACCCATACAAACAAAACACACGCATACAAACAAACCACACACATACAAAAAGCACGCATATACAAACAAAACATATACACATACAACCAAACAAACAAAACTCACACGCACGCACGCACACATACATGCAGACAGACAGACAAAGACAGAAAGGGCTGCAACTAACCGGCTCCATGGCATCGAAGTAGATGTTGTTCCAGGCATGTCTGCTGATGTCACTGAGCACCAGAGGTCTGCTCAGGTTCTCTATGTAACTCTGCGGTTGTCATTCATGTCAATTTGATATGCTATCGACATGAAACCAACATTTATTAACATGGTGATGCAACTCTAGTTAACAAAATAGCAAAAATAATTAAATGAATTGACACGGTTTAGAAATTCTTAACTGATATTATTGGAGCACTATTTTCTATTCTACTAGTTTTAATTCAAAAAGACAAAAATCAATGTCATTAACGTTAAATGTAAAAGTTGATTTATATAATGAACGATTTGATGATTTGTTTATCAGCCCAGCAAACATTTGAAGGGTTCTTCAATTTTAAATGGTGGGCGAACGCATTCAAACGATGATGCAACTGTTGTGGATCAGAATTAACGACAGAATTATTTCATTGTCAGAATCATGAGATAGAATGAAAGGACAGTAACACATTTTTGAGCAGACACAACAACACAACACAGCATTACACAACAACACATGGTACCACACAACACAGCATTACACAACAACACGACACAACACAAGAACACATAAAACAACAACACAACATTACAATACAAACATACAAAACAGCATAAACACACAATACAAACAAACAAAAAACAACATACACGCACAATAAAAACATATAAAACAACATAAACACACAATACAAACTTAAAAAACAACATATACACATTACAAACATACAAAACAACATAAACACAAAATACAAACATGTATGTGTTCGTGTACATCAGCAAATCCTGCAATCTTGTAGAAACTTCCTAAAAATTTGTTTTTTTTTTGTTTGAAGTTTTTAAAATTTTAAAATTTAAAGTTAATAAATTTTAAATAAATGGATTCTAAGCGAGGTCACTTTTTCTTACTACAATCATACATCTTATAATTTATTGCGAAGAAATATTCAAATGAGATCAGGTAACCGAATACTATCAACTTGGGACAACATTTGTTTTACATAAAACTTTATGAAATTAATTTGTTTCCCAGTGTTTGATAAAAAATCATCTGAGGCAAAAAATTAATAAATTCTTATTTAACGCAAAACTTTCTTGTGCCACCAACTCAAAACGATTTCAAACTATAAGTTATGTGTGTAGTTTATATTTGTGGTTATCTGCTAACAGCAAATAACAGCTCAATAATGAACTCGTCGATGGAGTTATGAGATTTAGCTTTCTAATATTAACTTCATAAGAGGTTGATAGCCTTCTTGAATTATTTCGGCCAACGGCCAACATATGTTCATTTTATAACAATTCATATTTTGCAATTGGAGGATGAGATTTTTATGAGTAAAATATAAAATGCAGACGATCGTTTGGCAGCCCAAAAAAAAGAAATGAAACAAACCGTTGTTGGAGCATGCTATGTCTCTCACGTGATCAATTTCATCAACTTCCCTTCCAATCAGGAATGAGAATATGCGCACCTGTTCGACGTTTTTGTTAGCATTCGATGAAAATGTGTCCACAGTATTGAACAAAATGAACTCGCCAATTACAGACACATCTTCATGCTATTTGTAAATTTTTGAAGTTTTGTTAACAACGTCTTTTATGTTACATGTTGCCTGTTGCATGAGGCATGTTGCATGTTGCAGGTTGCATGTTGCAGGTTGCATGTTGCATGTTGCAAGTTGCATGATGTATGTTGCTTGTTGCATGATTCTGCAAGTTGCTTGTTTTTGTAGTTGGCTGGTCTTGCAAGGTTTGTTGTCAGTTGCATGTCGCACGTTGTCTTTAAATATTTCTCAAGCTTATTAAAGTTGCACTAAGATGAATGGTCCATTGTTTACAGCACTTGTTCGCGAAGGAATTGTTTCTTGTATAGTGCTGCATTATTTTACTGAATTTATTTTAGGTAGACTTTTTCAAAGTTGCACAAAAAATTGTTTTTTTTTTCAAATTTACAGAATATGCAGGAAGGAGCATATGTTAATCCTCAAAGAAATGCCGTCAGGATGAGGAAGTTAATAGAGAGAAGTGGTCCGTGTGTCGGCATCTTATTGAACAATACATTTAATTAAATGAATGCACACTTTTTGTCGGAGATATTTTTTCAGGACAGCACGCGTGGTGGGCATAAACATTCAGCAATGTCAGTTCACGGTAGACGCAACGAAACGAACAAAACGCGAAAACTAATTCGATTTATATGCATATTTCAAAAATTTACACAGCCATGCAATGAAAAAAAGTGTAAATAAATAGGAACATAAAGAAGAATGTGCATTTAGAACAAATAGTTCATTAAGGTATACATTTCAAACAAACATGCGAGGGTAAAATGAAAAATAAAAAATTATCATTTTCATGGCAAACATAAAATCTGATAACATTAAAAGTAACTGTTATTGGTTACATTTATGAACTCAAAAAATTTATGATGAATGAGAACCATATAAATATTCACAACGACATACGACACGGTGTCCGGAAAATTCATCGTGGAAAATTCATCGTGGGAAAATTCATCGTGGGGGAAAATTCATCGTGGGAAAATTCATCGTGGGGGAAAATTCATCGTGGGAAAATTCATCGTGAGGGAAAATTCAACGTGGGAAAATTTATCGTGGGAAAATTCTTCGTGGGGGAAAATTCATCGTGGGAAAATTCATCGTGGGAAAATTCATCGTGGGGGAAAATTCATCGTGGGAAAATTCATCGTGGGGGAAAATTCTTCGAGTGGGAAAATTCATAGTGGGGTAAAATTTATTGTGAAAAACAGTTTTTGCAATTACACACCTTACAATTTTGTCATGACGAGTATGCAAACGTGCCCGACATACAAGATTTTGATATTGATCACATTTCCAGAAAGTTTTTTCTTCTGTAGCCGCATCTTTTACGAACAAGTGACCTGAGTCAATTAATTTTCTTTTTCCTTTTTCACTGTACACGAATTCTAGTGACATTTTTACACAAAAATTAGCGAATCGTGATGCAAAAACTACTTCCTCATTTCTGACACACTTCACATACAGTATTTTATTATAGACTTTTACTTAACTTACTCAGACACGTCCGACGTCCGCGGTCCACCTTTGTATATATTTTCTATACCATACTAAGGGTATACAAATGATAGTATTAATAAGCATGGATGCTATACGTTGCCTATTGATATAACCTCCAATACAGTATACTTTGTATATTATACGTATATATTATATACGTTATATGTTATATATGATATATACGATGAATTTTCCCGCGATGAATTTTCCACGATAAATTTTCTCACGATGAATTTTCCACGATGAATTTTCTGTAAACCATACGACACAGGTCACGGAAGAGTTTGGCATGATTTGTTTGCTCCAAGATTAATAAAGTACATATATTTTCCATGAAATTAATTGAAAAGTAGATCAGTTGGGCTTTGTTCTTCAAAAGAAATCATCTATTATTAACGAAGTTAGAGATTTGATGCACACACACACACACACACACACACACACACACACACACACACACACACACACACACACACACACACACATACACACATACACACACACACGCCCACACAAAATCTATCACACACAAACACACACACGCGACCAAATGAAGAAGCAGCTGGTTTTTTGTTCTGCTGCCACAGAAGGCCAGCAGCTTGCCGGAGATAGTAGACAGTGAAAGGTCGAACATTGCCGGCAACCAACGCTGGTGTAGAGCGCACACATCGCTGCAACGTACCCTGCCTATTACTGCAACATTTTGCCTACCTCATTCTATTATTATACATGCTACCGTCATCTAAAATTTGCCCACACCATCAAAAGTGAAATTTCTTTTTTTGGCAACCGACTCGTGGGATGCGTTTAAGAAAAGAAATTAAAAAATGTTTACGGGATATTATTTGAAGATTTTATTTAAACAAAAACATTAAAAACTTAGGGACAATAACGCAACTTTTTATTTGTTCACTGTTAATAAGCAGCTCTGACATGTGCAAGCACCGCATCATAAACTCTTCGCAGATGATAGATTTTCAGTTTCGGACCAACAATGTTTGATCAATAAGATTCTAGAACTGCCCAGATTCGAACTAGGTCACTGTTCAATTGTAACACTTTTACCAACTGAGCTAACTTGTCAATCTTTAATAGGCTATCGAAAGTATCATTAGACGTGCTATCTATGAGTGAAATATTTATGTAGTAGAACATCGATATAACTTGATATAACTTTTAACATGATGAGACATGTTAACAACTCTTTTAGAAGCAGCATCTATGAATCTTTTTTTAAGTTTTCTCAAATGCTGCCACCTTCATAAATTGTTTAATGAAGTTTTTCGGCCAGTGTACCAATCGATGAATTTTTTGTTTTCCTACCTCAAATAATCCACAGCAGCTGCAATTTTTCTGGCACACACAAACGCGAGGAAAACATTATGAACGACTTGCAGAGTATGTTCTAGAACATATATGAAACTACAAGCAAACACTCACAGCCACACAAGCCTACACTCACAGGAAGATCCTTATTTACATTTCTTATCTAAACATTAAAATTTTGATCACAAAAATGCACACTATGAAAGGACAGAATGAAAAATGACTATATTAGAATATAACTGTAAATATAAATGTAACAATATAACTATATATATATATATATATATATATATATATTTTAATATGTGTACATAGTTATTTTAAAACAAGCAGAAATAAAGAAATTCAATGTCTTAGGCAAGAATTATTAGTTGATTTCTTGGAAGTAGATAATATGCTTCTCAAATCAGGGTCTCTATCATCGTCGCTTATGCAACTAGAAGAAAACGAGTTGAAAGTATGTTTATAATAAAATAGTTAATGTGTCAGCAAGTTAAAGAGACAGATTCAAAAACATGTATGACCGTCGTACAACCTTTGCTGTGATAGAAACAATTTGTGACAATTTTAAACAAGTCCACGACACGGTGCCAGAGTAGAGAGGTTTAATGTTTTTATTCATTTATTTACTTTTTTTTGACCTTTTTCACTTTAGTTGATTCTTAGTTTAAATTCTGGAATTTTTTCTTAGTTATTAAAATTGTTCACATTATTATTTAACAGCAATAATAAAGATAATAACAATAATAATAACAACAACAACAACAACAATAATAATAATAATATTGGATAAAACCATTGAGAAAGGACAATCAAATTAAGATGATAATCATGCACGACGCATATTCATTTTACACCTACGTACGTAAGTCTCCAACGTTTAGTGGCTGGTAGGTGTTCCGGTACATATCCAACAATGCATGCACAAGTAGATCTTACGTCTATCAAACTATGAACTAAAATACACGAGCTGAAAGACAAGTATTACAATGCAGAGAAATGATTTTACATAATCTCTTTGCTTTTTATTTTGAATTTAATAATAAAAATAATTATGACAACAACAGTAATGCAAATATGGTTATGAAGATTCAGCAAATAAAAATCTTTTATAGATTTTGATTTACACACGCACACACACACACACACACACACACACGCACACACACACACACACACACACACAGACACACACAAACACACACACAAACACACATATAAATATGTATAAATAATAAAAAAAAAGATTAATGGTCTAATTCCAGGCGAATTGATACAAAGCGTTCATGCATTTGTTCATAAAAAATGACCTCCAACATTATTATAAATGTGTTGAAGTAATTGTATGCGGGAGATGACATCAATTATTGCCATAACACATTAATTATGGTTTGTTATGGATGAAAATGTATCAAATAAAGGCTGCATAAATTTGTAATGCCAACATACTTGCTTATATGCCTGATTCTATGACGCTCTCTTGACTGTTGACATTTCTCACGTGACGTTGACATTTTGCCAATAGGCGTTATTATAAGGCGCGCATACCTTCATTTTTTAATGTTATTCTTAAATAATGTCAAAATGGAATTTAATATTTTATTTCGTGAACGTGTGTTTAATGTAGAAGTTATCTCATGATATCTAATGCGGAAGTAGACGAAGAATACAGTCTTGATGGAAAAGATTCATCCTGCTTGATGGTTTTGGATAACAACAGTTTTATTAAATTTTCATGATAAACTTGGATAATAATTCTATTTTCAATAAATAAAACAATTTTCAAAAATTTCTAGCAAAAAAAAATTAGAAACTTTAAATTGATTAATGCCGACAATTCGATAGAATTCATACAATACTGTATGTGTGTGTGTGTGTGTGTGTGTATATACACACACCCCTATATATTATATAACAAACTGTATATGAACTGTTGGCACTCAAATCAACTCGATTATTCCAACACAGTTTCATTGTTTATTTAAATTTTAAAAATTTTAAATTTCAAAACAAAGAACGCAACAAAAATCGATTTAATGTTTTCTCAAGACCAGATAGATGATCTTCCATCATTATTGTTTGAATGTTTCTAACTCATGAGCAACATTCATTCACACAATCAATCATTCACTCACTGCTTCTTGAAAGATGCTAGGCTACAGTTTATATTTCAGATACATATATAAGTAAAACTGCCCAAGTTCTTGATGATAACCATATCACTGAAAGTTTCGACCGTTTGAAAACAAGCTTCATCTGGCAGCATTTGCAATTTGATTATTGAGTGTTTTTTGTTCCACTGTATTTTGCAATAATTGGCTGCCTTTTCAAAACCCCGTTCATCCTAACATTTCTACTTGCAGAGCTATTGACACGCGTGCAAATGATGAATTGCTAATCGAAGCGGCACTGATGATGACAATAAAATGAACCATTATATAGCGCCAGCCAGACAACTCAAACAAATTCGTTATTATTCATTTTCTACATGTAAAGTCGGTACAACAACAACAACAATAACAGCAATAACAACAATAACACCAACAACAGCAAGTAAGGAAACTAACAAAAAACAACACAACATCATAATCAACAAATTTGCCAACCTCTGAAACAACCACAACATCGTGACTTTGAATAAATTAACAATGTAGATTATCAAAATCAAAACTATTGATAGCAGCAGAAACAGCAGCAACAACAACATTTATCACAAAAACAACAACAACAATTATTACAGTTATTGACTGCAACAATAAACCCGCCCTATTTGTGACAATCGGCGCTCCGTGCAAGCCAGCTACGACATAAAAATGCAGCTGACATTGAATGCACCGTTCTAAATCATAGATAGGGCTGTTGTTTGCATATAAAATTAGAAAACAAGCTGATATAAATAGCTTATCGGATTATATAAAAAACAAAAAACATGCGAATAAAAGTGGAAATAATGATATATCGATACAACATGAGGGCAAATTCTACAGCATACAAATACACCATCAATTGCAATCCAAATTAAAAATACAACAACGTACTAATTTATTTAACTTGTCATTTCCATAATATTATTAATTACATATAATAATCCTAAAATAATAACTAAAGGATAAAAATAACAACAAATAAATATTCACGTGTATATACCTACATTTATGTGTTAATCTTTATATTATTCAGCATTTTCCAGAAGATAGAGCTATGATTGAAATGCTTTATTGAATAGGAAATATCTTCTTAACTCCAATCTGAAAGTTTTTACCGAAAGATCATGCTTCAATATTGTAGGAAGATCA